GGTCGGGACTTCGGGGGACGCCGTCCTGAAAAAATCAGGACGTCGCACGTCTGGGCCGACGTCATGGCCCCCCCTTCTTTCTAGCCGTTCTCCCCCTTCCGGCGGGCCGGGCCAGGCTCCTGCCTCCGGCAATTATTTGCGAGACCCTTTTGTGGACGCCCCCTTCTTCCCGGACGTCCGCCATCGTCCTTTTTTCCCTGCGGGGCCCTCGGAGGTCCCGGCCCTCTCCCCAGCACCGGTTTCTCCTCCCGAGCCGTTTCTCTCACGGCCCCGCTTCTCTGGGCGCAGGGCCCCCCCCCGAGACCGATAGTGGCCGAGCACCTCCCCTCGGGTTTTTTGTTGGGGGGTGCCGCGACCGGAGCATGTTCTGGTGCAGACAGTGCAAGAGGGGGAGGAGGAGGAGGAGGAGGAGGAGGAGGAGGAGGAGGCCGAAGAGGAGACGAGGAGGAGGACGGAGGAGGAGGAGGAGGCGGAGGGAGGAGGAGGAGGAGGAGGAGGAGGAGGAGGACGGAGGGCGTTTGCCTGCCCGGCTCCTCCTCCCCTCGCGCCCCCGCCCCCCCCACCCCCGCCGCCCGCTGCGCGCGGCGGGCGGGCAGGCGCGGCCGGCCTGGCGCGGCCGGGGCCGGGCGTCGCTGCGCGTGAGGTACAAGGACGAGGACCGGGGGGGGGGGGAACCGCCTGCGACTCGGGGCGTCCCTCCCCGCTGGCGCGCCTCCCTGCCCCTCCTCCGCCTCCTCCTCCTCCTGCCTTCTCCTCCTGCCTTCTCCTCCTCCTCCTCCTCCTCCTCCGCCTCCTCCTCCATCTGCCTCCTCCCGCCTCCTACTCCCTCCTCGTCTCCCTCCACTGCTCCTCCACCTCGGGGGAGGACGAGGGAGGAAGGCGATCATTCCCGCCCTCGCCGCCCCTAAAATATTGCCCAGCGACGTATTTAACCCATCGGCACCAAGGGATGATATCAGGTGTCCCGACAACAGTGCGACAGCGATCATGCAAGAGACGGCGCACGGTGGATATCTATATCGTGGAAAGTGTGCGTGGTCGACTCGTAGGAAAGAGGTACCAAAGGCCAGGACGCATCGTACTGGGAAGGAGGAGCACAAGGAAGACATCCGGTTGGAAGAACAATCACCTCGGGGAAGAAGAACCTTCCTCCTCCCCCTCCGCCTCAATATCTCCACTTCCTTCTCCTCGCCCTGCTCCTTCTCCTACTCCTCCTCCTCTTCCTCCTCTTCCTCCTCCTCCTCCTCATCCTCCTCCTCCTCCCCTTCCTTCTCTTCCTTGCCACCCTCCTCTGCCTTCCCCTCCCCCTCCTCCTTCTCTCCTCCTTCTCATCCGCCTCCTCCTCCTCCTCCTCCTCTTTGTTTTCTCCCGGTTATCTCCCCCTCCTTCTCCTCGCCCTGCTCCTCCTCCTCCTCCTCCTCCTCTTCCTCCTACTCCTCCTCCTCTTCCTCCTCCTCCTCTTCCCTTCTCTGCCTTCCCCTTCCCCTCCTCCTCCTCCTCCTCCTCTCTCCTCCTTCTCATGCTCCTCCTCCTTCTCCTCCTCCTCCTCCTCCTCCTCCTCTCCCTCCTTCTCTTCTTCCTCCTCCTCCTCATCCTCCTTCTCCTCCTCCTCTTCCTCCTCCTCCTCCTCCTACAGTTTGCCTGCAGCGAGGAACGAACAGGCACATGCAGCATTGACAATCCAGTTCGCATACTAAGGGATTCACAAGATGCCGTTCTCACATACGCCATCTAAGGTAAGTCACGAGGCAGTTTCTTTTGCAGAGTTCCATGTTCTGGCAACTTGCAAAGACAATTGGACGAAGGAGCGTATCGGCATTGTCCTGCACAGTTTGGATCTTCGCATCTGGTGAACCTATGGAGTTTCGAGGAGGATGGGCTTGTACTTGCATTGCCAAGAAATGGAGCGGGATTCATAGTGGGCATGCATATTGCGGAGCCACTAGTCCTCCTCCTCCTCCTCCTCCTCCTTGTCCTCCTCCCCTCCTCCCCCCTCCTCCTCCTCCCCTTCCTCCTCCTCATCCTCCTCCTCCTCCTCCTCCTCCTCCTCCTCCTCCTCCTCCTCCTCCTCCTCCTCCCCTTCTTCCTCATCTCCTCCTGCTCCTGCTCCTCCCTCCCTCCCTCCCTCCCTCCCTCCCTCCCTCCCTCCAACAAAATAGCCATCCAACGGCGCGCATGTGGCGCGTCGGGCCGCTCAGCGGGGGTCCCGTCGCTGGATCTGCAGCCGGCGCCGTGCGCCGTCGGTCGCCTGCCGCGAGCCTGCCGCGCTGTTGTGCATCGACAACTTCGCCGCCCTTGGGGCCGACGAGGAATCCGCGAATGCCGATGGTAGCTCGATGGAGAGGCAGCCAAGGGGTCAAGGTCTAGGCTTGCACGATGTCTCGGGACCGCAGGCCGAGGTGGACCACTCGGGGTTCCGCATCGACGGCATGAATGGCGCGATCCACATCGCGCCCAAGCGGTTCTGGCGACTCGTGCTGAGTCTGGACTTCATGCTGAAGCATCCACTCCTGACGGGTGCCGAGCTGGAGAGGCTGGTCGGCCATCTGACCCACGTCCTGCTACTGCGCCGCGAGGTCCTGAGTCTGTTGGGCGCTACCTACGTCTTCGTCAGCTAGTGCTACTCCCGTCGGGTGCGACTCTGGCCGTCGGTGCGCCGAAAGCTTTTTTGGGTTCGCTCGCTGCTGCCACGGGCGTGGGTCGACCTGCGCGGGACCTGGGCTCCGAGTGTCATCGCCGTGGACGCGTCGCTCGCGGGGCCGGGCGTAGTCGAGCGTTCGGCTTGCCCGGCCGCGGTGGGGGACATCGGGCGCGTTCGAGAGCGCTGGCGCTTCAAGGAGCAGGAGCTGGCAGCGGAAGGCTCGCGGGCGCGAGTCCTCCGAGACGGCGCCGTGGCAGACTCGCCATTCCTGGACGTGCCCGCGGACTTCTGCCGATTGCCCGACTGGAAGACGGTGGCCTCTCGCCGTTAGCGTCATCGGGCGCCGATTCATCTCCTGGAGGGCGAGGCCTTGCTCTGGGCTATGCGTAGGCAGGCGCGTCGGGTGGCGCATGGCGGGCGGCGGCTCCCGACAGCATGTGTACCTGTTGCGCAGTTGCAAAAGGTCGCGTCTCAGATTTCCCGTTCCTGTCCCAGTTGACATCTCGCGGCGCTCGAGCTCGCTTCCTCGCGTCGAATTTCAGTTCGCTGGATCGCCGCCGAGTGGAATCCCGCCGATGGCCCGTCACGCCGGCTCCTGGCGCACCCGGCGCCCGCCGCCGCGGCAGGCGCCGCCGGGGCCCCCTCGCCGGAGGCGGAGGGCCCGCTCGCTGCCGCCGGACACGCCGACGTCAGTTCGGCCATCGGCAGCCCAGCCGCGGATCGCCCCCGACCTTTCGGGGGGCCGGGGCACGGCTTTGCCGCGGCACCGCCTCCTGGGCTCGAGCGCTTCGGGCCTGGAGCTGGAGGCCGTGGGGCCCTCGACGCAGCTGACCTACCTCCGCCGCCTGAGTGGCCTTTGTGTCTGGCTGAGCCAGGAGACGCTGCCAGCCTGGACAGCGGCCGAGTGGGGCGACGCGCTGCTGCAGTACCTGAACGACGAGTTCGCGTTGGGCGCGAGGCCTAATCGGGCCTCGAAGCTGCTGTCTGCCTTGCCGTGGGCCAGGCCGGCGCTGGGGCGACCTCTGCGGGCGGTGCTGCCGCGGAGCAGTCGGGCGCTGCTGAGCTGGGAGCGCGAGCGCCCCGGCCAGTCGAGGTCCCCGCTGCCAGCCTGGCTGGTGCTGCGCGGTGTCCTCGAGATCTTGCTGCTCAAGGGCGCGGCCGCGATTGCGTGCGCGCTCAGCCTGATGTTCCGCTGCTACCTGCGCCCAGGAGAGCTGCTGGCCATGCGGGCCTTTCAGCTGGCGCCGCCGGCTCCAGGCCTCGCGGGCGGTCTCCGCTGGTGGGCGCTGCTGCTGCGCCCCGAGGAGCTGCAGGTGTCGAGCAAGACGGGGGAGCTGGACGACTCGCTGCCGCTGGACGTCCCCGAGCTCCTCTGGCTCACGCCGGTGCTGCTTCAGCTGAAGGCGTTGCGGGGGCCGCGCGAGCCGCTCTGGAGTTTTGGACTACGCGCGGCTGCGCGCCGAGTACGCGACCGCGATGGCCGCGCTCGGGCTTTAGTCGCTGGGGGCCACTCCGCGCTGCCTTCGCGGAGGAGCAATCCACGACAGGATCGTGAATCGCAGGTCGCTGGAGGAGGTGGCAAAACGAGGCCGCCGGCGCGCCCGGCTGTCGGTGCGCCGGCACGAGAAGCACGGCAGGCTGGTGCTCCAGGTGGCGCAGGTGTCCGCGCTGGTCCAGCAGCGTTTGCTGCTCAGTCAGCGCTCGCTGCGCCAGCTGTTCGGCAACAGCTCCGCGCAGCCCTCTGCCGAGTGCGTCTGAAACGAGAGCGCGTCGCCGTCAAGGTCTTTTCAGGATCGGGGCGCCTTGCCTCCGCGCTCCGCAGCCGCGGGATCGCGACCGCGGCCCATGAGAGCTTGAGCTGCCAGTTCTTCCTCCCACTTAATTCAGAGTTCAACAGGCCAAGATTGTTTGCTGACCCTCTGCTGCAATGTCTCATAGCACCGCCGTTGCCTTGACTGCGTCCCCGCGTCCTCTCAAGCTTGCGCTGGAGTAAAATACAAGGCCTTCGGAGTCCTCGCGGGTATGGGGTTCTACGGGGGCCCGATTCTTCGAGGAGGTGGCGACCCCCCCAAGTTGCGGAAGGTGCACCGCAGGCAAGTTGCTTCATGTGTTGCTGCACTTTGCTGTCCTGCTGGGTGTGTGTGTGTGTGGTTGGGGCGTATCTTGGCGGGTGGAACATTACCCCGTCGGGGTCGGACTGGTGACAAGGGGTCGGCCTGTATGTATTTCAGAGCATGAGTTTGTCATGTGGCCTCGTCCCTCAGGGACGATCTCTCTTGGCATTGGCAGGAAGGGTCAGAAAGGGGGGGGGGGGGGGGCGAGGCCCGGGAGTGGTGGATGCGCTCCCGCTCTCGGGGAGGACGACCTGAAGGACACCAGGTTCGACCGTCATCGCGAGCGCAGGGTGCCCAGCTGGTTCGAGAAGACTTTCTTCGAAGAGAAAGAGCCAGGCGCCTTGGACAGGAGGAGCAGCAGGGTCGGGAGGTGGAGGATTCGGAGGGGAGGAGACAGGAGTTATGATCTGGAAAGTCAAAATGTATCGATGGAGGGCCCGGTTTGGGCATGGCCCGCGTTTCAACTGGTTGTAGGGCTTTGAGACGACAGCGCGCGGCTCTATGGCGAAAGCCACATATCAAACATTATCTCACCAACTTGCGTGTAACCGCGATTAGACGTGCAAAACGGATGTACGCGGCGTTCGTGCGAGAGCCACCCCTCGAAACCGCCCAACTTCAGTCCTTGTGTCTGTTGGATCCTCCTAGCTGCGAGACCAGTCATGCAGAGGGTGTTTCAGGCGAGCCGCACAGTCCACATCACCAACAGGCCGAATGGTTGGACGAGGAGGAGATATTCATCAGGACGGGCTGGCTGGGACTGAAAAGGGGAGTATGACGAAATTGAGGAAGAGGAGAAAATGAAGATCATGCGAATGGGAGGAAGATGAGGAATGGTAGTGCAATGCACGAATGGGTACACATAAGGCTGCGAAAAGGGGATGAGGGGGCGGAGGAGTACGAGGGCGAGCAGGAGGAGGACGGCGCGAATGAGGCGTAGAAGGACCATATGATTCTGCATGATGGCCGATGATGATGATGACGACGATGGTGATGATGATGATGATGATGATGATGATGATGATGATGATAACGATGAGGATGTTGATGCTGATGCTGCTGATGATGATTGTGGTGATGCTCCTGATGATGATGATGATGGTGATGGTGATGCTGATGCTGATGCGGATGATGGTGATGATGGCGATGATGATGATGACGATGGTGCTGCTGATTATGCTGATGGTAGTGCTGCTGATGGTGATGATGGTGATGCCAATGACGATAATGACGATGACGATGGTGATGATGATGTTGATGATGCACGCTGATGTTTATGACGGGGATGATGATGATGATGATGATGATGATGATGATGATGATGATGATGATGGTGGTGGTGACGATGGCGATGATGATCATGACCACGATCATGGTTTATGGTGATGGTGCAAATTCTGATGATGGTGATGGTGATGGAATGATGATGGTGATGAATATGTTGATTTTGATGCTGAGTGATGATGGTGCTGCTGATGATGATGGTGATGCTGATGACGATGATGGTGGTAATGATGCTGATGGTGATGATGCTCATGGTGATGCTGATCATGATGATGCTGATGCTGATGCTGCTGACGATGATGACGATGCTGCTGCTGCTGCTGTTGCTGCTGATGATGGTGGTGGTGGTGGTGTGATGATGCTGCTGATGATGATGATGTTGATGATCATGCTGATGATCTTATTTGTATGATGATGACTATGATTACGATGATGATGATGATGATGATGATGATGATGATGATGATGATGATGATGATGATGATGATGATGATGATGATGGTGATATGTTGATGATGGTGATGATGTTGCTGCTGCTGATGATGATGATGATGACGCTGATGAGCGGGGATCGCCAAGGTGGGAGGAACATAAAGGAGGAAGGGGGACAGAGGGGCGAGTCGGGAAGATGGATTTTTGATGCGGGAAGGTTGGTCAGAGCTCAGTGAGCTCCGCTTGGCTACACCTCTCAGGGAGCTTCCTTGATTTACTTCAGTGGACAGGTGGCGCCAATTCTTCCAGCCAGTGGACAAGAGAAGGGAGGGGCATATCGAATCTTAATGTCCCAGAGGCGCGATTGTGCAGGAGTGCCAGCAGGAGGTGGCAGGCGTGGGATGGAGGATTTCGGAGGGTGGGGCAGAGAGCGGGGAGGAAGAGAAAGCAGGGAGAAGGGAGGATAGAGCGAGAAGGAACCAGGAGGGGACTTTAAGAGGAGGGAAGTGTGAGACAGGGAATAATTGGTAGGAAGGAACGACCGAGCCGCTAGAAGGGAGCGGGCAGGGAGAGGGAGGAGGTGGAGGTAGGGGGGGAGGAAGGAGCTAGGAGGAGAGAAGGAGAGAGGAGGAGTGAGAGGGGAAAGAGGCGCGGGAGTGTTTAGCGACGGTAGAGAATGGAGGCGGGATGAGGGGAGATGGAAGGGGGAGGGGGGAGAGGAAGGATGGAGGTGGAGAGGCGAGATGGAGAGATGAAGAGGTGCGCGCGTGAGGCAGACTGAGCGGTTGGATGAGGAGTAGGAGCAGAAATGATGACGAATAGCCAAACTTGGAGAGGGAGGAGGGAGAGCCACGGAGCGGGGAGGTGAGATGACGAGGGGGAGAGCGGAGGGACGGAGGAGGGAGGAGCCTGCTTTGGAGCCGACGCAGGCTTCACATCACCCGCCCTCGTGGCTGAGTTTTTTGCCGTCGGCCCAGATCCGGGGAGGTCCCCTCGGAGGGCCCCGGAGACCTCCCCCGGTGGCCGCGGGCCTCCCCCGCATTGGACCCTCGAGGCGCGAGGGTCGAGGGCAGACTTTGACGCCCGACGTGCCCCCTGCGCCGGCACACGCCTCACATCGCCCGACGGGGGCCCGAACGGCAGATGGTCAGCATCGGTGAACCGACCCCCCTCCCCAGGGATCCAACGCATTGAAAAAATTAAGACGGAGGTTTTTCATGCTTTTTGGCCTCTAGGGGCCCTCGCCTGGCCTCGGGACCGTCAGACAACGACTCAGGATGAAAAGCCGGTCCAGGGGAGAGGGTCAGGATTTCCGGGGACCCCGTATTGGAAAAATCAGGACGTCGCATGTTTGGGTCCCCATCCTCATCCCCTTTGGGACCCCCGCCAGATTACCGCCACAGCTGGGGATGCACCCCTCGAAACCCGAAGGAAGCGGCCTATATACCCCCATCCAGGGGGGGTAAATCGGCCAGCGGGGCCCAGGCCGCGCGGCTGGAGATGGGGATCGGTTAAACGATACTCATAATGGAGGATGACGATTAAGAAATGACCGGGGGTCGTGTTCACGCGGCGGCGCCCGGGATGACGATTTGAAAAAACCGGCCGCGGGCTGGAAAACTATTCCTTTAATCGTTCTCCTCCAGTCAGAAAATTATGCAGAAATAGCAGAACACTATGTTTTAAATCGTTCTCTTCTATTTTTTAATGAATCGTCATCCCGCATTATGGGGCGTTCCAGAAAGGGCCTCGCCCTCGCGAGGCTCGAAGGCGTTGCCAGCTCTTCCGCGGCGGAGCGGCGGCGGAGGCCCGCAGAGATGCAGATAACGAGGCCGCCTCCGCCGGCGGAGGCCTGCGGGAGCCCGGCGGAGGGCGGCGGAAGTAAGAGATGCGCCCTCAGTGTGGCTGGCCGCCTCCTCCTCCTCCTCCTCCGCCTCCTCCTCCTCCTCCTCCTCCTCCTCCTCCTCCTCCTCCTCCTCCATCTCCTCCTCTCCCTCCGCCTCCCCCTACTAACTCGCCAATCGTGACTCACCTGCCCCGCTTTCGCTTCCAGGCGAAACCAAACCATACCACGCGCCTCCTCGTCAAGCGGCCTGACCAGTACAGGCTGCAATCTGGCATCGTTTGGTGTCTCTTGGAAGCGAGGGTGGTCAAAAACGAGGTAGCATTGTTTTCCCCCTATCAGAGGCGGAAGCGTTTCGGGGTTCAGCATTTCTAGGATCCGCCATGTGTCGCCGCGCCGTCCGTGCCGACGCGCGGCCCTGCGTCTTGGGGGGGGGGCGCCGCGGTCACGAGGGCAAAAAGCCGCCTCGGGCGCGGTGGGTTTGCTGTGGGTCTTGCCGCGGCGCCGGCGTCCTCCGGCCTGCGAGCTTCATGTGCGGCCCGGCCTTGCCAAGAAGAAGCCGCGGTTTATATACAAACGCTCGGCGGCCCGCGCGGACTTCTTTTGGTCCGCGCTGGCCCTCCTTTGGCGCGCAGCGGCGATCCAAGAGATCCCCGCACGAAATTGTTCCCCCCAAACCATGTTTATGTGGTGTATCCCCCTACCCATCATCACGGCCTTCGGCAGGACCATCTTCGCAGCCTGTACGGCCACCCTTCTGAGGGCCGCCGCGAAGCCGCCCAGCTGCACAGACTACTTCTTCCTTCAAGAAGCACCTGCTGCAGGCCTCCGCACAGAGCGACCCTAGCGCTGGAGCCCACGTACGTCTGTTGGCTGGCATGGAACTCAATCAATAGGCCCATCTGGGCATACTCCGCGACCTTGAGCGCCTGCTTCTCCACGCAGTCCTTGAAGACATTGTCCCACTCCAGCGCATGGGCAGCAGTGGCTGCCACAGCACGCGCAGTCGCCAGCTCTGCCGCCTCTGCCTCGCACTGGCGGATCGCCTCCTCAACCACGTCATCGGCATCCTGGACCTTCTGCTGCTTGGCCAACTTCTTCCTGGCTTTATTCTGCATCTTGGGGGCCGTATTCGACTGAGGCTCACGGTGGGTACCATGGATAGGGGCGATAAATGGGGGGGGGCAGCGAGGGTTGCAGAAAACCAGTCCTTCAGGGCCCCAAAAGGGGCCCCTTCGGGGCCCAAAAGAAGACCTTCAGGGCCCGAGAAGTGCATCTTTCTCTCCACCCCGCCCATTAAGCGACGCCCAAGCTGCCTGGCGAGGCTCCCGCCGCCCTCCTCCGAGCACCCCTCCTGCGTCTTGCTGTTGACCTTGGGCACCGGCCCCCGCACGCCGGTGTGATTGGCGAACGTCCAGTGGCAGACGGGCGGTAGGCGTCGGCGATCCCCCGGGTGGATGAGATGGGTGAGTGTCGACTGCACGTGAGAGTGACCTTTCGCCAGAGTGACCTTTGGTGAGTGGTGCTGGTGATGATGGTGATGCTGATGACGATGATGGTGGTAATGATGCTGATGGTGATGATGCTCATGGTGATGCTGATCATGATGATGCTGATGCTGATGCTGCTGACGATGATGACGATGCTGCTGCTGTTGCTGTTGCTGCTGGTGACGATGCTGCGGGTGAGTGTCGGCTGCACGTAAGAGTGTGACCTTTCGCCGGAGTGACCGTTGGTGCGGGCCCCACGGGGCCCCCCGATCGCTGAACGCGATGCG